GTTGAGATCACACTGTTCAATACTAATCTGATTAGCAACAACCTTGATACATTAGCTATCTTGATTCTCCTATTTCTTTCTGTTGGCCTTCAAAAACTTTATTAAACATTTTAATTATTTTAACACTTTAATTTAAAATTTAAGCCTCTCCTACACTGTCCTTTGAAAAACAATTAAAATAGAAAAAGGGGACCAATCAGAGTACAAGTGACAGAGGCAGACACTGAAATGATAAAATCTAGACACAAGTTTGTGTTTCTTCAGTTACCATGCTAGGATCTTAGGACATTTTAAAGATATAAAGATACACAATCTCAATACAAGTAACACAAGTCACTGTTCTTACAAGTTGGCCACCCAAAATGTAATATGAATAGTATGAAATGATAATGATTTTGTTGGCTTATAAAATAATTTTAGGGAAATTTCTGGAGATTACTTTTAAAAGACCACTAACAAAATAAAATATGCTAAGCCTGCTGGTAGATACCTGGATATAATATGGTCAGGTCCTTAACAAGTGTTATTGAGAACTCTGCAAGGTGCCATTTTAGACTTACACTTCCCTTTCAAAGAATAATGCATGGTCACTATCAACTCAGTCTTGGTGTTTTCAAAATTAGAAGTAAATGTTCAGAATTATTTGTTTGCCTGTAGGTGGCACCAACTAAAACTCCGAAAATGATGAAATAAACTCATTACTTTGTATAAATGAATTGGACTGGTGGTAGTTTCTTGAGCACTTCAAAGATTCATGTTCTAACAAACGTGCAAATTCATTAAAGGCTGAACCCCAGAGTCAAAGAACCTCAGCAGTCCCACCTTGTGAGCAAAAGCCAAGGACAGGACACAAAAGCCAGGGACACATTCAGTACCCAGGTTAAGCAGTTCTTACTTAGTAGCTTTTACTTTTAATTCTTTTCTAGAAATGCCTTTTCATATTGTCTTCAAACGTTAAATTTCCTTCAGAGAAAGGGTTTATCCACTGGACACTTCAGTATCTTTCCCCTGATTTTCTGTTTCCACTCAAATAATAGACTTTGGTCACCCAGTATCTTCATGACTCACAGAGACTGAAACATCATTACGTATTTTCCTAAGGATCCAGGGCATGTTATAGTCTCAGAAAAAATTAATAAAAATCTTTTACCACAGTTTGGAAAAGAAAGAAAACGCCATTCATATATTCAATAAATATTCACTTATGGCCTCCCATGCAAGCAGTGCATTACATACATGTCATGAGGCAGAGGTGGCTCCACAGAGAAGCCCGATATATGGATGCTGCCCTCAAGGAATTTGCGTGGTGCTGGGTGACAAGACACAGGCATGTAAATAATTATGGTACAGGATATATAATGACCTCTAAGTAAGGTCAATAAAGAACCCTAACAGATTTCATAAGAGGAAGTGATCAACCTTAAAAATGTCTGCATCAGCAGTTTTATTATTTCATTTTGAATCCCAAAGCCCCAGTGCAAATCTTTTTGTGGGAGACCATCTGCATGTAATAAAAATAGCTATTGAGGATTCCCTAATAGAAAGTATTCCAACTGTGGCATCTTTCTGGTACTGGAGAGGCCACCAACATTCAGTAATACCAGAGACTTTAGGATGGTCTCTTCTAATCAGGGTTGTCAGGCTCCCTGAGTGGGTAATTGTCATGCATTTATGAGGTGCTGCCGCTTTAAAGACATGTTTCCATCCATTATCTGTTAATTATTATTCCTGAGGACAGGCTGGCACCAGGAAACAGGCAGCCAGGACACCAGGGTTCTAATTCTGCTCAGCTCTCTCTGATGTAAAATGAGGGGGTTGGTCACCAGATTCTCCTCAGGGTTCCTTGTGTGGCTAGGTGGGTAGGGGAAATTTTATTATCACTATTTTATAGCTCAGGAAACTAAAGTCAGGAGAGCCTGAGGAACTTGCCCAAGGATAATAACTGATATACAATACTTGAAAATAGCCACCAGGCTTAAAAGGCCAAAACATTTTCTACTGTGTCATACTCAGAACCACACCTAACATTTGTGTGCAAGAGGACAGAGGCCTACATGGCATCAATCTAAGTATTTAGGTTATAAATCAAGATAACAAACTGTCAAAATATGACCCTCCCGCCTTGACAAACACCTCTTCACAAGGACCTGGAAGGCCAGGTGTGAACTATGAATTATTAGACTCCTCCAAGGGCCAGCAAGGAAAAGCTGACCCTCTTCCTGCCCTTAGGTGGAACCCAAAGTTCCAGGAAGGGCACCCACCGCAGCCCACAGGTCCAAGCACTGTACACACTCCAACAAAGACCCATTCCTGGGCACAGAGTGAGTTCAGAGGTCCGGGCAGATCCGGAGAGGGGGCATTTCAGAATTCTGACGACCTGGAGAATGGTCTAGAGGAGGGTTCAGGCTCTTTGACCTGTAGGAAGGGGCACTGCCAGCGGAGAGCAGACCGTGGCAGTGGGCAGAGGTCCCTTTTGCTTGGGTTCAAAAACCAGTCTGATCACACGACCTCAAGATTCAACCTACAGTAAAATCTGGTAACTTTCTTGTGTAAAAGCAGCATGCACGATTGGTTACAAGCAGCCCCAAACACCTGCGCCCCTAGTTTGGCCACTCACCAGCTGTGAAATCTCAAGAGTTACTTAACATCTTAGGGCCTCAGTTTCCTCATCTCAGAACAGATAATTATCATGAGGAGTAAATAAGATAACAACTGTAAAAAGGCTTGGCAGACATTAAACACTGGTTCAATGTCGTGAGGTTCTCTCCACTTGTATTAGGTGAATTTGTCTCCGAAAGGTTTACCTGGAGAATTATATAAACATAATTATATCCAAGCTCCCTGATCAGCAAGGTTCAACCCCTCTCTCCACTAAAAAGCGGGGCCAGGCGCGGGGGTGGGCACATTCCACCCCCATCCGAGGCGTCGGCTGTCGCACTGGTCCCACCAGTCCCGCGGCCAAGGACTTCAGGCTGCAGACACGCACAGGCTGCGCCGCAGCCAGGGGCTCGGGAGGTTAGGCAGCCCGCGCGGCCGTGAGTCACGGCGGCTTGGGGAACTGAAACCCGGCTTAGCACGCAGCACGCCGCCCGCCTCAGCCCCGCGAGGAGGACGGTTAAATCACTGCCAAGTGGCCTCGATGGAAAAGAAAGAAAGAAAAAAGGACGCGGAGCCGAGGTCGCCGCGGCGGGTCGTCCCCACCCTTCGCCTCGGCGCTCACGCTGACTTCGCCGAGACTCTGACAGGTCTCGACATCTCCCCCGCCGGGGCGAAGGGAGACCCGGAGGCAGGTCGAGGCAGCTCCCGCGCACCTCCCGCGAGCGCGAGCCGAGCCAAGTCCACCGACCGCCCGCCCGCCCCAAACAAAGCCGTGTTCGAAGGGCAAGCCTGGGCATTCCCCCACCCTCCGGGTGGAAAGAATTCAAAGTGGCCCCTTTCCACATCCTAGCCGCCCCACTCCTGCAAGAAAAACAAAAAAAAACTTGGAAACTTTGCTGCTGCTTGTGGCCCAAGAACTGTAACCAGCCCTTTCCGCTCCCAAAGGATAGTCGTGACTGGGCACCGAGAAGCCACACTCTCTGGAAAACACCAACAAAGGGCTATATTTAGCCATGAGCTCTCCGTCTAAATTCCTCTTATTTTGCACTCTTAGCTTCAAAACGACTAGGTTGGGGAAGTGGGAGGAAGGGGGCGGGGGAGCGGCAGAGAAAGTACAGCTGTGCCTCCGCCTCTTAACTCAATCTCTATAAATAACCAATCACCAGCGGAGGCTACTTTTCAGCCAATGAAGCAGCCCAAACTGACAAAACCTTGGCGGTAGCCAATGGGAGGGCCGTTGAGGGTGTGAGATTTGCGCCCGGGACCAATGGGCCGGGACTCTAGGAGAGGTAATTTGAGCTGGAGTGTGGGTGTGTGGTGCAAAAGCTTCCTGCTTCTAAGCCCGAAAACCTGCTCTGCCCACTGAGCATGCCCTGACTAGCCGGGAGCGCCGCCGCCACTTATGGACTGGGTTAAAATCTAGGCTCCAGGTTTTGGGCCTAGCCCAGTGGGGAGGTGGGTGGGACCCACCAAGTCCCAGCCCGGAGAGTGCTTTGGTCACTCGAGTCTGCCCCTTCCTTCCTCGGGACAGTAATTTAGGCCCAGTGTTCTTGTCTTCTTTGTCCTAAGGATGTAGTGCGGAGAGTCGGCTAGAGAAGGCCCAGTAGTTTTTCCGAAGCGAATGGTTAAAAAAAAAAAAAAGCTGCGCCGCGAGTGGGGGAAGAGGCCCCACCCACTGTCCTTGGGGTCTCCAGCCCCGAGACGCACACTGCTGGGGATCGGGGAGTGGAATCCAAGGACATCTGATTATGGGAGTCGGCAGGAGCGGTCTGCTCTGTGTCGAGAGGGCCCGCCGCACCCACGCGCTTCTTGCAGAGTCGCCGCCGTGTGTGCGGAGCCTAGAGCCGTGAAAGAAGACGGTCTCCATCGTCCCACCTGAGCTTTCCCGGCCCCCTCGCAACACCTCCACAAGCCGGCACACCTCCCAATCACCTCCGAAACTCGCTCCTCTCCGAAATCCGCTCCTCCAGACTCAAATCGCGAGCCCCACCTATAGCCCCGCCCCCGCCCGGCCCCCCGGAAAACCCGGAGCGTTGGATCCAGCGGGCGCGGCCGGCGGTACACTGGGCATGCTCGCCGGTGCGGGGAGGGCCCGGTTGCGCGCGGCGAGTAGGAAGCCCTCGCCCGGAGGAGGCTGCGGGAGAGAGCGCGATGGGCCGCGGCGGTGGGCGCACGCTCTGCGGGGACTCATGCCACGCGCGTCCCGGCTCGGAGCGCAATTAGCAGCCACCTCCGCAGCCCGCCGCCACCACGTCCCCGCCCTCCCGGGCTGCGGCGGCGAGAAGCTGCAGCGGTCGCCTCGCACAGGCTGCCGGCATTGTCCTCCCGGTCCGCCGCCAAGGCTGCTGCTGCTGCTGCCGCCACCGCGGGCTGCTGCGGTGCCCCGGACCCGCGCCCCAGGGACGCGTCGCCGCCGGCTGGCCCGGCGCCCGGCCCCCGTTTGGTGATTTCTGCACCCTGCGCTCCCCAGCCGCCCTCTCCTAGTTTCCCCCTGCAGAGCTGAGGAAGGGGGAGAAGTCCACCCGGCAAGCCTCGCCTTTCCCCGGCGCGCAGCCCCGACGGGGCCGCGGCAGGCGCAGCGAGAGCGCCGACGGAGCCATGAGAGAGTACAAAGTGGTGGTGCTGGGCTCGGGCGGCGTGGGCAAGTCCGCGCTCACCGTGCAGTTCGTGACCGGCTCCTTCATCGAGAAGTACGACCCCACCATCGAGGACTTCTACCGAAAGGAGATCGAGGTGGACTCGTCGCCGTCGGTGCTGGAGATCCTGGACACGGCGGGCACGGAGCAGTTCGCGTCCATGCGGGACCTGTACATCAAGAACGGCCAGGGCTTCATCCTTGTCTACAGTCTCGTCAACCAGCAGAGCTTCCAGGACATCAAGCCCATGCGGGACCAGATCATCCGCGTGAAGCGGTACGAGCGCGTGCCCATGATCCTGGTGGGTAACAAGGTGGACCTGGAGGGCGAGCGCGAGGTCTCGTACGGCGAGGGCAAGGCCCTTGCCGAGGAGTGGAGCTGCCCCTTCATGGAAACGTCGGCCAAAAACAAAGCCTCGGTGGACGAGCTTTTCGCCGAGATCGTGCGGCAGATGAACTACGCGGCGCAGCCCAACGGCGACGAGGGCTGCTGCTCGGCCTGCGTGATCCTCTGAGGCGCCAGCGCTCTGCGCACAAAAGCCAAACGCACCCGACTCTCTAAATGTGATTTCTCTTCTTGTTTTGAGATTGGAGACGACTTTGCATTGGCCGGGGTGTCCCAGGATCCCGGCTGGCCTCTGCGGCCGACGTCCCCTGCCTCCTCCCCGCAACCGAAGGGGTGTCCGGTCCTGACCATCTGAGACCCAGTGGAAATGTGGCTCTTTGCAGCATGTACGTTTCTCATTGATTTTGGTTAACGCATATATCCCCTTTTAAGTAACCGTTAAGGGCGTTGTATTGGCAGCTTGACACCAGCAAGCCGAAAGTTTCAGCCTGGAAAAAATGGGGTGGGGGAGGAAGAGGACAGGGAGAAGGTGGAAGAGGGGTTTGTTTTTTGGTGTTTGTTTTTTCCAACAACCGTTTTCTAGTTCCAAGTTTTAAATACATGGAAGGAAGTCCGGAAGAACCAAATGAAGGAGCAGGAGGAGAAGAAGAAACTTTTGTTTTTTCCTTGTTTTCCAGGAGTAGCTGGAAATTATGATCGGGTTCCTTTTCTGCCAGCTTGGAAGGGCAACCCCGTGACTGATTGCGATTCTGAGGATGTCTATGCAAAGTTGGGTTCTTGTTTCAGTGTATCCAATCTGAAGTATTGCACATCTGAACTGGGACTGTTAACACTGATGCCAATACAGTGTGGGGTGCCAGAAAGTGTCTGCTGATATTTGTGGGAAAAAAATATCTATTTTGTTTACCTACTGTACCTAAGGGGAGTCTGGGGAAGAACGGTAGTATTTTTTTTTATCAGCTGTGAAAAAAAAAAAAAATGTTACAGATCTGCACATTTTTGTGTGTACTATTGTGTGTGTGGTTTTTTTTTCTTTTAAGTTTAGCTTTTTGTTCTTACTGGTTGGCAGTAACAGATTTTGATGACTAGCTCTTTCAAATACAGTACAAAGACTTAACAAATGTGATTCAGGGCCCCCAGCACCCCTGTGTCTGCAGAGTGCCTTCAAAACTCAGCTGTTCCAGCCGGTGCCAACCTGTGAACATCCCACCCTACCCCAGAATCTGCTATTCCCCAAACCACTTCCCAGTTTCCTTTTCAGTGATCCTTCCGAAGGAGCCAGGACAATAGGGCCTGTTGTTCGGTGAATTTCTTTATTATTTCCAGCCTTTAAAATGTAATTTCCATGTCTTGAAATGTTTTTTGGTTTTTTTTTTTACTTTTTTTTTGCTTCATTTTGTTCAAATGTTCAGGTATTTAGCTCCCCTTTTATGTTATTTTAAAATATTTTTTGGTTATCTGTTAATAGGGTGTTCCTCCAGAAGCAAAGAGCAGAATTTTACTGTTGTGATGTACCAAGAGAATTCTAACCACTTGTAATTTTTAATTCCAGACACGCGTTTAATCATTGTCTCTTCATTTTAAGACTTTTAATACAAATGTCATTTTTAAAGAAACAAAGTCAAAACTATTGTTTGTGTTTCTGTGCTTCATGTTCAGTGATTTCATACAGTATCGTGGCTGAGGTATGGACAGAGGCAGGTGGTGCCTGATGTCCCCAAGAGTTGTTGGTCAAATTTTGAAGACAGAAGTATCTCAGTGGTAAATTTGGTGACATTCCTTCCAACTTCTTAAATATGGGGAAAATCACCAAGGTCTAGGAAGCTCTGGGGTATGGTCATATCACCTGACTACAAGGTGAGCAGGATATTAAATCTCTTCTGCTGGCATGGAGCAGTGTACCTCACAGTAGGTAAGGAAGGGAGAAACCAACTGCCAATCCTGCCATAGATCTGGGGAAGGAGCTACTTTTTATAAGTTAGGTCACATTCCAAGTCAAAAGGATGTTTGGGGATGATGATTTCCATTCTGAAGTCATACCTATTAGTGTTTTCTGAAGTAATTTGTATGGATTGTAGACAGCATCTCAACCCCTTGAGGTTTTGATTTGGAAACAGATCATTAGATTTAAAAAGAAGAAAAAACTAAGACAAAAACCCCTTGCTGTCATAGATTCTGGACCATTTTGATCTCATGAAATTTTGCTTCTAACAGTAGGAGGCAGTGTGAGCTTTATCTTTTTTTTTTTTCTGAAGGGCCCCTTGACTAATATAACCTCTGCAGAAAAAAAGGCTTATGGTGATATATCAAGGGCATTTAATATACCTTAAGTCTATGAGTGTAGATAGAAGTCTTCTCAAGGGTCTTCAGACAAAGGGATTATTCTGTTGAGGAAGTCAAAAGAAATTACAGGCCACTGGTTTATTTAAAGTTATTAACATATCTTGCCTTAAAATGTGTCCTTTGCCCAGGAAAACATCTCAATATTCCAGGGTGGAAGAAGAATTGGGAATTTTGCCTGTGGTGGTCCTATGGTCAGTTTTTTTTGTTTTTCTTAACTCTTTTTTTTTTATCCTCACCCGAGGACATTTTTCCATTTTTTGTTCAAATAGAGCAGGAGGGAGAGAGAGGAAGAGAGAGAGAGAGAGAGAGAGAGAAACATGGATGTGAAAGGGACACATCGAATGGCTGCCACCCTCACGACCAACCAGGGCCGGGGACAAACTGCAACAAACTGCAACCGAGTTACGTGCCCTTAGCGGGAACCGAACCTGGGTCTCTCTGTACCATAGGCCGACGCTCCAACCGCTGAGCCAAACTGGCCAGGGCTGTTTTTCTTCACTCTTGATCTCACTTAAGTTTAGTATCAAACTCAGTAAGAAGGTACTATATATATATTCTAAATAGAGAAATTAAGGAAAACTACTCAAATGTTTGCCTTTGCAAAGATTCCTTCGTGCATTTGAGTACATTGAGCTGCTTCAGTAGATCTAAAGTGTTGAAAATTCTGAAGACATTTATCAAGTATTATGAAGGATATTTTTAAAAAGGTATCTGTTGAATTTTTTTTTCTTATGGTTTCCTTTGGTTTTGAATTTTGGAAGCCTTTTGACCTAAAATGGTGCCAAGAATCTAACTAATTTAAGAAATGTATGTACTCCTAACAGGGAACACTTAAAAATGGAAAATTGGAAAAGAAATTGGTTGGGGGTGCATTAATCATCTCCACACATGATTTAGTCACTTGCATGACTAAATTCTTAATAGGTGTAGGATGGCAGAGCAGAAGAATTTAATATGCTTTTACTGAGTACTATAAAATAAATGCCTTTTGGATTCTCAATGAAAATAATTTTATGTGTGTTCCTGGAGCAGGAAAACAGTGGTTCTGAGTTTGGTAGCCTTCTCCATTATGTTCTTGACAAAATTCAGAGAAGTAAGAGACATTGTTTTTAAGAATATGTCGGTTTATTTGGCTAGTAAGAACCTCTTTTAGTATTAGGGTGTGAAGAAATAAAGCATTTGTTTCCTTAAAGAAGTTGGGCTGACTTGAGTATTAAAGGGAGGGAGGGAGGGAGGAGCAGTTTGCTCTAAGGCAATCACCTGTCAAAACAGATACTGGGTGGGAAAGGAACCTTTATCTTGGGGAGCAAAAGTTAACTTAAACTTGACCCCTGCTGTTTTTTAACAGCTTTTCCTTTTGGTCCCTGACAGTCATCCAGGCTTTATGTTAATGTTAAAGGATTATTTTTGTACTTCTTTTGTAATAGCCTCAGAAAGGTTGAAGGTATTTTCATCCTGGGTTTAACATTTTTTGTATTTGGGAGTTATGGTTCTTAGGTAAAACAATTTCATGTTGTTAACTGTCAAAATAGACTTCATTGGATCACATTTTAGGGAAATATCTCTGTGGGATTAGAATTCTTTAAATGTATGAGGCTTTGTGCTCCCTGGTTAGTTAACCTTTCCTGTAGGTGGGAATCCAAAAATGCCTCATCTATTTGAACTCGTCAGGTAGTTTTACAAATGTTTTCACCAGCAGGCGATTGCACCCCTTTAAGATAAGATATCTAGTATTTCTTACAGGTGGGGTGGCAAAGTGAGAGACTCCTCATCAACAGCTGGTCTTGAGAAATACATGCAAAATGTCTGTACCTTAACTGTCTTAAAAGAATAGATTATTTGTCACAACATCTGAAATATGAAGGAAACAAAGATTTAATTTGGAGATCCCCACTCTTAGTTGAAATGATACCAAACATTTATCACAGTGTCTACTTAACTGGGAAAAGTTTACTAACAAGACTTTTGTCCTTGTGAAAATGTGTCAAATTTTTTAATGCTACCAATAGAATGTGGTATTCTTGATTATATTGTACTCAGACTACTAGGAATAATTAAACATTTAATTGAACATAGTGCTAGTTCTAGAAGATATATTCGATCTAATAACAGTAGGACTTTGATAGTTGGAGAAGGCTTTCGTGATTACCTAGTCCAGAGGTTCTCGAACTTGACCACATACCAAAATTACCTGATAGTTAAAGCAGGTGTTAGTTTCTTTTTTTTTTAAATTTATCTTTATTGTTGAAAGTATTACAGATGTCCCTCCTGTTTTTCTTCATTGACACCCTCCTCCCTGCTCCTGCCCCCTAAACAGGTTTTAATTTTTTAATTCAGTATGTCTGGATATGATCCCATAATTTTTATGTCTAACAAGTTTCCAGGTGTTGGTGCTACTCCAGCGACCACACTTTGAGAACCAAGGATTTAGTCCAAACTCCAAATAAGTACTGTAGGGACAGCCGCCTAGTTATTTAGGGACATAGACTAAGACCTATGTCACAGCTTTAGAACACTGCCTACCACAGAGTCAGAACATGTTGATTGAAAATCTGTAGCTGAAGAGGACATACACCCTTGACACCAAGCCTGTTAAATTGATGTGTGAAACGGGATAAACACTTTGCAGGTAGATCGACCGTTTTTGCATTTTGGCAGTAGCTTTTAGTGTTAATTCAGAAGTTGACCAAAATGATTAAAATAGGGTATGTCCTACATACTCAGAATCAACATTTCCTACCCCCCCAATTTTTTTGTCAAGGTTTCTGATAAAAGGGAATACTCTTAGTACTTGTCTTCTCTTTACTTCAAGATTCAAAGGCAAGAATTTAAGCTCTTCCCACTAATGATTCTAAAAAAAAAAAATTATAGCTGAGTATTTGAATTTTCAGGTCATTGTAAGCACACGTGTGTTTCTATGTAAATGTGTGAGTGTGGAAATACATACACTCAGTTTCTTACCCAGACTTTCCAGGAACTGGGCAATTTAGTGTCATGTGGTTTCCCGGCCCTCCATCCTGGGACAGCACATTTGGAACTGGGAGTGTTGATCTGCCTTGTAAATTGGACAGGACAGCTATCTGTATTCTGTCTTTGATATTAAACAGAAATCTTTGAGGAGTTGTTTTTCTTAGATTAGCAGAGTAGAAAGTATGTGCTTTTTTTGTCCAATTGACTAATTTGCTATTTTTAAAATGAGTTATCTGGCAAAATTGTGTGGGGCTAAGTTTATCAGAAGTTTGAAAATGTGTGGTTGGTTTATTTGTGGCAATTAACGCAAATGTAGCAAAAAAAAAAATTTTTTTTTAAATAGGAAAGATCATTGACACATGGAGAATACAGGTGCCCCCAAAGGGCCTAAGATTGTTCCTTTATTGTTCATATGGTTGCAGTGGAAATTAGTAACATGGCTGAAATTGATTCATTCATTATTCAACACGCATTTATTGAGCATATACTGTGGTGTAAAGACAAATGCTTAAATGGGAGAAAACCAGAAAAAAGAACAACTTGGTGCTTTTATCACTGTTGGCTGTGAGAATAGCACATTAACCAGTAGGAGTATATCATTTTTATGTATACATGTATGCTTTTTATAGTGTATGCTATGCATATACTATACTACATATGCCATCAGTAATAATATAATCTGTGAGTCTGTCTGGCAAGCAATAAAGTAGGTATATTTGTTGAAAATTGGAATCTTACCTTGAAAGATATGTGGATATTGCAAATAAAAGTGGATCCTGTAAGATTTAAGCAACTAAGAGTTGTTTGGGTGCGTGCAGAATTCTAATTTTGTACATCATTTACAACTTTTGAGATTAGCTGAAATTGAACTTTTAGAAATAGGAAATCAGTTTGCTTTCATATTTTCATGTGAAAGGGAAAATGAAGAAAAAGGCAAGAAATTTATTCTCTGTCTTTTTTTTTTTTTTTTTAACGAGGAAACAAGAAAAGGACGATTTAGGTTATATTCTTAAAGAAGCAGTTGTTGGCATAGTCTTTTAGGGTTCTTTGTGTAAAGAAGATTCAGGCTAGGGTATCTCTTTTGTAAAAGATAATCCTCTAAAAATGAGTGTGCCAAAGAATTAAGCTGACATTTTAAGGTTTCTAAGCTTAGCCCTGGCCAGTTTGGCTCAGCAGTTGGAGTGTGGCCTGCGGACCAGAGAGTCCGGGGTTCGGTTCCTGCTAGGGGCATGTACCAAAAAAAAAAAAAGAAAAGTTTCCTAAGCTTATAGTTATTTTATACAAAAACTTGTTCTCATGCTTTTAGTGCTCATTGGGAAGAAGGCAACTAACTAGCTGAGAGAAACGTCAGGCAACAAGCTATAAGAAGTAACAATAATAGTAATTATTATAAAACCGTAAGAATTGAAGGGAATTATTATTAACATATCATAGTTTGCAAAACAATTTCTAGTGACTGTTTTGTATACTCTCATGACTTTAATAACATACTTTTTAAATATCCAAAGTTACAGAATTATAGAGTTCATCTGAAACTACTTCACTGTTTATTTTTAAAATCTGATTACTATAGAAGCAATTATGAGATGCAAATTTATTAGTTTTATAGCTTCAGTAAAGGCTTTAATATTTTATATCTGTGATCTATTTATAAAAAGTTTTCAAAATCTGGTTTTAGTCATGAACTCAGAAAATTTTAACATTACTAAATATATGTATTAATATTAATTTCATATTTTAAACTATTCTCTTTAAAGCTAACATGTTGAATCATATCTCATTCAGGAAAAGAGCCTCTATAGAGATTTATTCTAGCATAATTCTAAAAGAATGTATATTTCAATAAAATATATCTTAAAATATATTTTAGATAGTTTTGAATTCAACATCATAAGTAGATGAGAAGATTACAAGTGTGTTACTGAGTTTGATTTTAACATCCTTCATCATCTAGTAGAGGAAGGGCTTGAGACTGGAGTTCTTGGCTCCGAGTTTGGTTATCTTAGCTTCCTTTGTCATACATACCTTGTCATCTTTTCTTTCTGTATATCATTTCATTCATCCACGTCTGATTTATGCAAATGTTTTTCTCTGTCGCAAATGTAATCCATATTAATCGATAAAAATTTCATGAACTGCTTAGTTAATGGCTATATAAATATGTTTTCCATGTAATAATGTAAAGAGAGAAATGTGTTTCACACAGTTTGAGACTAAAACAGATCCAAATAGTTAGAGAAGATTGCTCACTAAACAGACTTTACCTGCGAATTTGGGCATAATCTCTGCAT